GCCAACTGAGACTGAGTAGGGTTAAAAGTATGGAGGAGTTTGGTGTCTTGATTTATCTGGGTCCATAATCTCACCTAGACAGGCCTCACAACAAGTGGATCAATTAGCTTTTGCTGCATAAGCCACCCTAAGTGCCAGTAACAACAACAAACATTGCTCAAGGGTCTGTGGTTTGGCTGGACTTGGATGATCCAGACTGGCTCACTAATATGTCTGTGGACCAGCTGATCTAAGTTGGGCCTGTCTAGGACAGCGTGGTCCAGTGTTTCTCTCTTCTTCCTCCCGAGACGAGTAAGACAGGCCAGCATGTTCTTCTCATAGCAAGGCAGAGACAAGCATAAAGAGGGCCCAGCCATGTTAGCATGCTTCAAGCATGTGCTTGTGTCACATCTGCTAACCTTTCATTGACCAAAGCAAGACACAAGGCAAAGGACGTGGATGCAGGAAGGGGTGGAGACCTGGGACCATTTATATAATCTACCACAGTTTGTCCCCATTGTCCCCAATTACTCATGTAAAATTTCCTCATCCTTATCTAAGGATCCCCCAAATTTCCTCTAGTCATGGCATTTGGCTAGAAGTCTGGGATCTTGTGATCCACATCAGGTTTAAATATGGTTTTTCACGGCCCAGAGACCTATGAACTTTTTAAAAGACAAGTTCTTGCCCTCTACCTTAGTTCTGACTACTGTCACAAATACCATAGACTGGGTGGCTGAAGGCAACAAACTCTTTCTCACAGTTCTGGAGGCTGAAAATCCAAGATCAAGGTACTGGCAGATTTGGCTCCTAGGGAGAGCCCTCCTCCTGGCTTGTGGACAGCTGCCCTCCCCCTGTATCCTCACATGGTGGAGAGAGAACGAGCCAGCTAGTTCTCTCTGTGTCTTCTTCAAATGGCAGTAATCCTATTGTGAGGACTCCACCCTCATGACCTAATTACCTCCCAAAGGCCCCGAATCTACATACCATTTAATTGGGGATTAGGGTTTCAACATATGAATTTTGGGGGAACACAAACATGTAGTCCGTAACACCCGCACAGAGCCAACGTACGGGTGACGTGACAGGATAGCACCCATTTGTAAGGGAGGACGAATGGCAGCGGTAACTGAATTACAGCAGTGCAGACATGCTGTGAGGCAAATACTGTCTGGTCCCCCTACTTGAAGGGTAAGGAATATTCCTTGATTAGGCCTTGGTCCTGCAACCTAAAAACGGTTCACTAGGGCAGGTGTTGGCACACTTTTTCTGAAAAGGGCCAGAGAATCAACTTTTTTAGGCTTTGTGGGCCACATACAGTCTCTCTGTCACATATTTCTTTTCCTTCGCCTCTTCCTCTGTTTTCTTTTTTTTTTTAAACAACTCTTTAAATGTGAAAAACATTCTTAGTTCAAGGGCTGTAGTTTGCTGACCCTGCCTTTATCCAATGTTCTCCACAACACTTGCGCGTACTCTCCATGTTCTTCCTTTTCCATCACACTCTTTGGCCACTTCTGGAGATGGCATTGAAAAATATGTCAGTTTTGGCCACTGAGCCTGCTTTCTGCTAGTAGAAATTTGAGAGTCTAGAAGCCTTTACACATTTTGGATAGTCTCAGTCTTTCTTCATCCAGGGTGGCAGCATTTTTGCTAATATGACTGCCTCAAAAACTTAGTGGGTTCCTATGTATTTTATTCTGTTCCACTCATGTACCAAAAGCCAGGCAATTCTTAGGTTTAGCTCTCTAGACTTAATTACTGCTACTTTTGTCATATCTGGCTGCTGTGAGATCATGCCCTTAGGATTCCTAAGAGCCTGTGCTACGCATAATTTTAATATGGCTCTCCATGAGATTTGCTCCCTGGTATTACTCGTGTGACTACGTTACATTACATTGCAAAAGGGAGATTTTTCACACCTAATCATAAGAAACCCTTAAGTAGAGTTTTCTCTGGCAAGGAGCAGATGGTGATGTCAGAGATTAAATGATAAGAAGGACTGGACATGATGTTGCTGCCTTTGAAGATGGAGGGGCCACTTGCACGATAGAGAGTACCCTAAAGGAGCTGACTTCTGGCCAACCCACAAGTAGGGTCTGCCCGATATTACCTGCTAGAGATACACAGAATGAAAAAGCCTAGAAATTTACCTCATCCATCCCACAATGACAATACAATAGGCTCATTTAAAAATATGTTGACAGGGTGCCTGGGTGGCTCAGTTGGTTGGGCGACTGCCTTCGGCTCAGGTCATGATCCTGGAGTCCCGGGATCGAGTTCCGCGTCGGGCTCCCTGCTGAGCAGGGAGTCTGCTTCTCCCTCTGACACTCCCCCCTCTCATGCTCTATCTCATTCTCTCTCTTAAATATTTTTTTAAAAAATAAAATAAAAAATAAAAATATGTTGATAGTAGCTACACTTGTAGTAAGCATAGCATAATGTACGGAGTCGTCAAATCACTAGTTGTGCACCTGAAACTAATATAACATTGTCAACTATACTTCAATTTAAAAAGAGCAGTTAAAAAAATGTTGGGAAATAATGTTAAAGCAACATTTATTGAGCTCTTGCTGTGTGCCAAAGCAGGCGAGGACTGTGGGGAAACAACCAAGAACCTGCCTGCAGAGCCTGTTGTCTTAGGGAAGGGCTTACATGGCCGGATGGAGAATGACTTCCTCTCTAATTATTGCCCAAGGGCACACCTGGCGCCAGGCGGGTCTGAGGCACCAATGCGGGCCCAGACCTCCACTACCGTCCGGTACAGCGAGGCGCAGACTCGGAACCAAAACGCAAGGCAGAAGGAAGAAGTCGGGGCGGACGCTGGGCGGGGCGGCAAGGAGAACAGGGCGGTTAGCATCAGCAGTGGCACACCGCCGCTCCGCGCAGGGCTGGGGAGACCCACCGCCCGGGAGCCCAGAGCGCGCGGTGGTTGGGGCAGCCTCCATGGCGCGCCCCGAAACTCCGACGCCGAGTTCGCCACCTCGATTCTCGCTGCACTGAAGGATTCCAGCAGTGCCAACCCGAGTCGGTTACTTAGGACTTAGAACGTTAAGAAGCTAGAGCACTCGGCAGTAAGCGCCATACCGGGAGCAGGACGCGCAGCAACCGAGCGCAGGGAAGACGACATCCACCCTCCAGGAGCCCCGCACGTACAGACGGCGGCCGGGCGCGGCGCCGGGGCTGCGCGGCCGCAAAGGAGCTCCGGCGTGTCGTAAAAGGGCCGCACGTGAGCACAGCTCTGGCAGACGGCTGGGGCCCCATTTTGGACGCCGTCTCTGCTTCGAAGAGCTGGGAGAACCTGTTGCTCATCACGGCGAGCTCGCTGTCAGCCGGCCGGCCTCTCGGGGGCGGTGACCGGGCCGCAAGGGCGGGGGCGGCGCGATGCGGCCCGCGGACGCGGACGAGCGGCGAGGGCCCGAGCAGCCTTGCGGCCGCCCCCTGAACCCCGCGCGCGCCACCGCCCGCCGGGCCGTCGCCGCCCTCGAGCGCGAGCACGTGCGCGCGCACCTGCGGGCCCGCCGGAAGCTGCTGGAGGTCGCGAGCCTGCTGGACGAGCTTCAGAGCGAGGTGGACGCTTCAGCCGAGGGCGTCCTGGGTCCCGGCCGCCGGGCGGGCGGCGAGGCGGAGGAGCGGGTGCTGAAGCTGTGCGAGAAGGCGGAGAGGAAGGCCGCCGAGGCCGCGCTGATGGGGCGGAGGATCGTGGAGCTCCACCGGCAGATAGAGAGCTGCGGGTGCTCCTGAAGGACGCGGGGGCGGGTACGTGCCGGGCGGCGGGGGCTGTCGGGGGGCGGCGCGCTGGACGGGGGTTTGTGTCGCCCTGCCTCGGAGTGCCCCGCCGGGCGGTGGGAGAAGGGGTGATCAGACACAGGGTGGCGCTCTTACATCGGGAGTGAGGAGCGAGTACTTGGGTAAGTTGGGAAGGGTAGAGACCACGCTGGTAACGTATTTGCAGAAGGCGCACCGGCCTCCTCCCTCGGGTGAGAGCCGAGGCCATAGCGCCAACAAAAGACGAGGGGGCCAGTGAGAGAAGCGTGAAACGGAAGTACAGGACAGGAAGTTTACATGCTGTGGTGAGATTGGCGCGTTGCCCATGTCCTAACAGCAAGCGGTAGCATTTTGTACGGGTGGTTGGGTTGGTTTGACTCCAGGATAGGAGAGTCTTAGAATTTAGACTGTGATGATTGATTTCCCCACTTGTCCTCCAGCTTATCTGCGGATGGATTCTGTTCAGCTGGTAGAGGACTTGCCGGAGAGGCTGAACCCAAGAGTCTTTCCTTTAAATACTAAATCTCCAGTATCATTCTGGGGAGAGGATTTCAGTATTATGTATGCGGATATGACTATGATTATTACGTGCATTGAGTTTCGAGAAGACAGCTTTTAGATAGTTACCTAAAGGAATAGGGCCTAGATTGTAAGCTGCTGTGTTGTCATATTCGTTACTGTGACTTTATCGTGATTTAAAGTTCCGAAGAATACTCTTGTGCTCTGCTGTGTTTTTTTTTGTTTTTTTTTTTGTTTTTTTGTTTTATGCTTCCTGGAATTTGGGGACGCCTGAAAGAGGCTTGCGGTCAGAGTTCTGCAAGACAGAAGACACTGCCTGGCTGCAGCTGCTGAAGCAAGAGCCCAGACTAGTCAAGGATGTGGATGCCGCTGCTTTGGATCAGATTGAGAAGCCCCTGGGGGGCTCTTGGGCATGGAGAGGGGTGGCGGCTGCATTTTGGAATTTTGCAGTCTCGGATCAGAGGAGGAGAGCTGTGTTCTTTTCATTTTCTTTGTTTGGCTTTTTTTTTTTTTTTTTTTTTTCAGAAATGTAATTTTTCTGTGGCATGTTAACTGATGCACATCATGTAACTTGTCTGGTGAGTAACGTAGAATAGGGGATGAGTTCTAGGTACTATGAGTATTGGCTGACTTTTGGGTAAACTTTTTGATGTAATCATGCATTTCAGGAGCTTCTTTGCCACAACTGCACATGACACTGCATGGCCTGGAGGGTTTGGGGAGGAGAGTGTGGATCTGACCGAGGCAGGCCCCAAAATGATAGCAGGAAGCATCTTCCAGGCTGAGATGATATCCAGCCTAGGTCCTCAGAGCAGATCTCACAGAGGTTGAGAGCAGAGCTCTAGCTCTAGCTTCCTTTGATAAAGTTCACTTGCCTGGAAAAACAAATGCTGAAAGACAGTTTTTAGAACCTTTGTGCAAATAAGCAAAGCCATTGACTTTGCCAGGAAAAGGTGAGATAAATAAATTCTTTTCAGAATGAAAGTTTCTCTTTGTCGTTATTGTCAAATGAATGTCCAGTGCTTCTCATTTGGGAATGTGCTCCAAAGCCTGTAGGCCAAAGGGAGGTTCGATCTGTAGGGACTGTGACAGGAGAGAGGAGAAGGCAGAGCAGGAAAGAGCCTCGGGAAAGCATGTTGTCTGGTCTCTGCCTTCAGGGCAGTTCATTCAGTCACTTAACATTCACTGTGACCGTGGGACCCTCCAGAGTCTGCTGGACGCTAGGAATTTCCAGGAGAGATGATCTAGTAAGTTAAGACAGCTCTATAAACAGGGCGCCTGGGGGGGCTCAGTCGTTAAGCGTTTGCCTTCGGCTCAGGTCATGATCTCAGGGTCCTGGGATCCAGCCCCGCATGGGGCTCCCTACTGGGCAGGAAGCCTGCTTCTCCCTCTCCACCCCCCCTGCTTGTGTTCCATCTCTCGCTGTGTCTTTCTCTGTCAAATAAATAAATAAAATTTTTAAAAGAAAAAAAGCGCTCTGTAAACGTATAATCACAGTACAGCGCCCCCAGTGATGGTCTTTGGTTTGCCAGGTAAGTTGAGTGCCCACAGATGCTGGGGGTCCATCAGTGAACAAGGTGCTTATACACTTGGATCTGACATCTGTAAGCTTAGAAGAGTGCCTCATTGTGCTAAGGCAGGAAAAAAATTAGGTAGTGGTAAGTTCTGTAGAAAAAAGAGAACGGGATATGGGGTAGGGAGGGGTTGCTGTTTTATATAGGGTGGTCAGGTGACATACCTGATAAGTGACATTTGAGCAAAGACGTGTGGAATACACACAAGGATGTGTAGGGAAAGGGTGTTCTATATTGTAGGGAGGTGGAACAAGGTGGAACAGGCAGGGCAAAGGGCTGAGGAGCAGCAAGAGACCCAAGTGGTTTGGGAGAAAATGGTAGATGGTGAGGTCAGAAGGAGCAGTCACTCTGCAGGGGACACGGAAGTGGTTTGAAGGTTTAAGCAGAGGAGTGGCAGAATCTGACCAGGTATGAGGAGACTCACTGGGTGAAGAATTGAGGTGGGGGCCGGAGCAAGGATGAGGGTGTGGAGGCAGCGCACAAGCAGCTGGGGGTGCTTGGGCTGGAGTGGCCCCTGCAGGCACAGGCTGGTATGTGGACTGCGTTCTGAAGGTGTTGCTAAGGGGCTATGCGGATGTGTAAGGATCCAGCCTTGGTCGCAAGGCTCATAGTCTGAGCATCTGTTGAGACTAGCCATGTCATTTGTCAAATGGGGGCAGTTTTGAAAGTGAAAGGTGGCCCTAGTAGTGTTGTGGTTTGTGGTCCCAGGCCTGCTGCAGGCAGTCAGGGACATGTGGGTATCCTGTGTTTTTATTGTGGTGGGAGCACTAGAGAGGGAGTCCACCGAGCACTGGGGAGTGTGAGATTAGACCGAGTGACTCTTGGTCTGGGCCCAGAAGCGTGAGCTCAGCCACCCAAACAGCATCCCAGGCGCAGGGAATGGGCATCCTGGAACTAACCCTGGGAGTCTCTCAGTAGGTCAAAATGTGACGTGATGGGGTTTGTGGGTGTTTGCAGGGAACAGGGAGGTAAGCATGGTTGTAGAGGTCTGCAAATGACCTGGAAGAGTTTAAACTTGATCCTGTGTGTACTTGCTTCTGCACCTGGGGTATTTGTGCTCCGGGCTGCACCTGGATTTGCTGTCGAGTACTTTATACCAGGCCATCTATTGTAATATTCTGAGTCGTCAGCGTTTCTGAATGTGTGACAAGAAAGATATTTTTTTAATTTTTTAAAATGACCTACCACTTGCTAAAAAAAGTCACAGTCTGGGCTGCTTCTGGCTCTGTACCGAGCCCCTAAAGCAGCGCTGTTCAAACTTAAAGTGCATCTGAACTGGGATCTTATCAAAATGCAGGGTCTGATCCTATAGTTACGGACCTGACATTGTGATTTCTAACAAGCTCCCCCGTGATGCCTATGCTGCCGGTCAAGGTACCACGTTTCAAGTAGGTTAAGGGGGGTTCGCTGGAAACATTTGAGAAGCGGAGTGATGGGGAGCCATGGAAAGGTTTGAGCAGATTGACAACACTTTGTGGTTTAGGAAACCTGCGTGTGTCTGTGAAGGATGGACGAGGCAGGGCTGTGCGTGAGGTTAGAGACCCCGCCACTGGGATTGTACGGAAGGGAACTGGGAACCTGGCCCACCTCCCTGCCTCCGCTTCCTCTGGCTGCTCGTGATGTTTGTCACTGTGGGAATTGCAGCAGACCATGTCCTGTCCCACCAGCTCCCGAGTCTGTAATCCTTTGTTAGAAGGGCGCCTGTAGGTTGTGCCGTGGCTTCGCCAACAAATGATGCCAGGAGTGCTGTGAGTGCAGTCGGGCTGGGCCGGGGTTGCCAGGGCTGAGGACTGCACAACCCCTCCCAGGAGCCCAGCCCCCGAGGCCCCTGTCCTGGCTGTCCCCTCAGGCCAGACTGTGGGTGACTGCAGCAGTGTCAAATGGAGAGGGGCAGGGGTGGAAAGGGGGGGATTCTTGGGGAGTCCCTATCTTTGAGTGTGATGGCTCTATTAAGGCAAATGTGCTTTTATTTCCATTTTAAAATCCACTTCCTTTTTTAACCAGTAGTGGTTGGTATCATTACCTTTGCTTGCATCGAACTCATGAGGAATAGTCAGTCTCTAGGATGCGAATGGGATGGAACAGGTCCAATCCTAAAATCACTCAAGGGACCAAAAGTGCAAACAGTGTGCCTGGGTCCTGTTTTTGCTGTCAGCCCCCGGCCAAGTTCCTACAGCTCCCGTCCAGTGGCAGCGCGCTGGACGTGTGGAATGAGAAAACAAAAGTCTGTATTAGAAGAATCTATTTGGGGTTTGGCCCTTCACATCATTATCTAATTTTCCCAAATTTGAGAGGTCATTTTATCGTCCTCATTGTTCCGGTTGAGGACACGTAGCTGCAATGCCCCCAGGAATTCGTCTGGGAGAAGGAACTGGCTCCATGACTGGCCAAGTGACTGTGCCTGGGCCACCAGATGATGATGGTTTTGCACTCTTGTCTTCAAGTTTCCTTGGGGCTTGACATTCCAGTTGTCTTCAGTTCACGTCAAGTAACCACTCAGCCCTTAGACAATTTCAGCACTCGAGGCAGAGCTGTGAAGGCAGGTGCATCAGACCTTTCCCTAGGCTCTGGGAATTTAAGGGGAGCTCCGGCTACCCGGGGACTTCCACGAGGGTCCTGTATTGAGACTGAGTCTGCTTAGACAGCAGAGGGTCGCTGGGTTCCAGACAGGCCCTGAGAACTCTCCCCAGCCGGCAAAAGGTACTGAACAGATGAAATCCATCCTTGGTCTTCCCCATGGTCATCTGGCGACACCCACGATGCAATTCTTGGGCAGTCAAAGGTGTCCTGAACTGGGGTCGGGGTGTCCGGTCCGGTCACTTATTCGGTATCCTGCGAGTCCCACATGCTCATCGACACTCCGTAGCCCCACAGGCTGAGATG